TTATTATTATTTCCTTTAATTCCTAGAGGAACATAGGGCTTCAGCCGTGCGTCTCCATTGCGTTCGGTTCTCTGCGAGAGTCTTCACCTGGCTCCAAGTCTGCCCACACGTTTTCATCTCCTCTTCACATGACCTCCTCCAAGTCACCCTTGCACTCACGACCAACTGACTCGCCTCCTCCCTTTCGGGTTCCACTCGAGCAATGGCTTGTCTAGTGATGTCACTTGATGGTTTCCTCAGAATATGGCCAGCCAATCCACCTCCATTTCTTCCTGCCTATTCGGTTCCTGCTGAGTTGGTTCGCCCATTGCTAGAGATCTCTGTTGCTGATCTTTTCTGCCCGGCTGGCCATTTCATCTTGAGTATTGAGCGAAGACAACTGTTGATGAAGGTCTGTAGTATGTTCAATGTAGCCTTCGTGACGCAGCGTCAAGTCTCTGATCCGTTTAGTGAGTAGCGGTGACTTCACATTGGAGTTAGGAATCCGGATCTTGTTTTTGATGCTGAGTGGTGTTGATTTTCGCATAGACTTAGAAGTGATGAAAGCTTGCCTTGCCTTCCCTATGATCCTCGCTTTGATGATTAGCTCGTCAGTTCCGTCCGCATGTAGTTGAAACGATGCTTCCCGGGTCAGGTAGATAAAAGAGGTTGTTTCTTTCAGGTTCCTTCCATTTATGCTGATTGTTGTCTGTTGTTGTTGTTGCTTTACAATATTATTATTATTACTATTATTATTTTCTAAGGTTCTGAGTGGAACACAAACCTTCAAAAGCAAACTGTCATTTTACCATGTTATCTGCAGGCGCCTTTAACATCCTGCATGAATGTCCATAAGCTGCCAATCTTCTCCTCATACGATTTCCTTTCTAATAACCCTTGGACTAAGTCTTGAACTTGTTGTTTCCCATGAGAAGGTCCACCTGGTCCACTTTGTAGTACTTATTATTATTGTTCCTTTGGGCTTCAACTACACGTCTCCACTTGCTTCTGTCTTCTGCTATACTTTTCACTTGCATCCATGTTAATCCATACTGTTTCAGCTCCTCTTCACACGATCTCCTCCATGTCACCATTGGACGTCCCACTCGCCGCTTCCCTTTCGGGTTCCACTCGAGCACTGGCCTGACGCGCGATGTCACCCAGCGGCCTCCTCAGCTCAGCGAGTATCCGATCCATCTCCACTTTCTCCTGCATTTTTTTGGGGCGATTGGTTCTTGTTTTGTTTGTCCCCATAGTTTCTTGTCGGTTCTTGTTCTTTCCGGCCATCTGATCTTGAGTATAGAGCCAGCGAAGACAGTCGTTGATAAAGGTCTGCAATAGGCTGTTGGAAATATTCTTTGTGACCCACCAAGTTTCTGATCCGTATAGAAAAACTGACTTGACACGCTCGATGATTGGTTAAACAAATATAAACTCTATAGATATAAATGGCAGTTTGATCACTTGAAAATATACCTTATACATCAGTGGCCTGCTTTCTGCTGTTACATTTGGTGTCGCTGTCTGCCGACAAAATGGAAAGCCTGTGCCCTGCAGTGTTTAAAGAAGGAGTTATATGGATCTTTTAGCAGGACTTCGAGGCTGTTGCGAAGGTGAATGGCGTTCATGATCTGTCAGCGATGAGGCTGTTACCTGGAGAGCTGCTGTGGGGTTGGACGAAGGCAGCATGTGATACTGTGAGGCGAAACACTGACGAATACATATTATTATTATTATTACTAGTAGTAGTAGTAGTAGTAGTAGTTGGTCGGTCGGTCGGTTTTTGACATAGAACTTTGCACATATGTGCGGCAGTGCAAGTCACCACACTCCCTCCTTGTAGCACACAAAGCAAGAGAAGAAAGTAGGAGAAATGCATAATAGAGAGAGACAGTAAACAGAGGTGTGAGACAAAGGAATAGTAATAACGGAGAACAAAACAGTTTCATTGGAAATCATAAGTCACAAGGAGTGGATGCATCTGCGCCAACCATTGAGAACGAGGATTTCGAGCCATGTCACCAATTGTTTCCAACCACTGGTTTTTACCGTCCCGAGGATCCCAACCAGTCAGCCAGTCTACACCTTCCTACGTGACTGGCTTAGACTAACTGTTGTAGATTTCATTGACTGGTGAAGGCATGTTTTGGTTTGACCGCCGCTAGCTCTTTTCCAGCCTGACCCTGTATCAGCTAACATTGCCCGTCGTCGAGGAAGGCGATGACTAGGCATCTATTTACTACACATGTCCTAACCATCTCAGTCGATGTAATTTCACAGTCTCTTTGACTGATTTCCCCGGCTTAACTAGCACTCGACGCCTCACCTCAATATTGCTCACCTTATTACACCACTTCACACGGGAGATAGAACGCAGACAGCTATTATCGAAGACAGCTAATCTTTTCATGTCTTCCGCTCTCAATGGCCAGGTCTCACAGCTGGCCATAAAGGAGGACGGAGCGGACTGATGAGCAGTACACACGCCCTTTGGTCGATAGTCGGATATCACGTCTATGCCAGAGATGGCGTAAACTGGCATATGCGAACCTAGCCCTCTGTATTCGTGCTGAGATTTCTTCGGAGATCAACCCGTTGAGGCTGATGGTACTACCCATGTAAGTGAAGCGGTCAACGTGCTCTACCACTTCACTTCCTATTTCTAATCTAGGGGTCGCTGAAATAGTAGCAGTAGTAGTATTCATTGGCGAAGAAATAGACTATGGGTTAAGTAGACAATAGAAATTGGCATCATTGATAACAGAAGCTTTGTTTATCGAATCAACTGCAAATACATGTAACAGGAGTGATTCAACACCTGTCCAGCCGGACATCTGGCAAATTCTACTACCCGAACGACGACAAATAGAAGAAAACAAAGAAAACTATAAAACTCAAGTTTCGAAGTCGTGTGATTATAATTGATGATATGATTATTAACAATAAATTTTGTTCGAAACCTTGTCATCCAGTAAATAATACTGTTACACTGTGTGATATATCCATCTAATAAACAAACTAATATGGAATTACTTACTACCACAGTGCCCAAGTTTTACACATATAGCATCATTATATTTTTTTTGTTGTAATATGTTTCAACAAATCAAACGCGATAATTTACTACTCGTTACCCTATAGTCTATCAATTAGAATAATGAAGTCACGAGTAATTTCACAATGCCATTGTCACTGAGACTGTTTTCTTCAATGTTTCATTTCTTTCTTCTTCTTTCTTCCTTGTTTGTCTGTTTTACGCATTGAAAGTATAATTGTCTCGTTTAATTGGAATTTGTCTCGTGCTTGTATATATATTTACAATAGTAGAATCACCATTGAATTGCCGCGTGACTGCAAAACATCGCCTACACTTCATTCACCTTTCCTTGTTCTCTCTCGACTAATTGCTTATTTTGCTTTCTTTCTTTCTTTCTTTGATGTGATGTAAAGGTATTAAGTTGTTGCCATTGTTGCTGTTGTTGTTCCCGTTGAGGATCTTGTTACTTACTGTGTTGTTTGTCTTTTGCTACTACTACTAATACTCACTATCTACCCATCAACTAGCTTGTCTCTGTCTCTGTATGTGTTTGTGTATGTTTGTGTGAGTGTGCGTCTGCGTTCTCGTCTCACATTATATCATTATGGATTATTAGTATTATTACTATTACTCCATGAATAACTTCATGCATTTATTCCCCTTGATGAATTTAAATAAAGCAAGAACAACAGTGTGGTTTGTGCAGAATAATATGGTACCATCACTGCTTATTTCGTCGGCTTCTCATCAGCTGCGTGCACACAGCCTAAATAAATTGTGAGGTTTACGTACAGAAAAGTTTCAACATACTTGCAAATTTTACATGTTGTCAGTTGACAGAAAGTTCCACAATTAGTGAAAAGTGCTCAGAAAATTGCGCTTGTATAGATTTTCCACAGGCAGTTCAAGTTTAAACAAAATAAATGTGTGCATACAATGATGGTAAAGGAGTTACGTAATAAAGACGAGAGGTGAATAAGATGATGAGTAACTAATAAATTTGGTAACGATGTACTGAGTTCAAATCACGTCATAGAAACAAGAGACAAGCAATATTACAGATTATAAAAAAGAGGGGTAAGGTTAAAGACAAAGATTACGTAATCAGAGTAGAGAATAAAGACATCCAGTTACCATGGCAAGGAAAGACTAATAACTGCTTCGTTCTGAACGCATAAATCTGGTTTGAAGCATTTGATAGAAATTGTTCCGGCAAACTTGAGGAGAATCGAGCTCCTTTGTCTATTGATAATTTTAAAGGATTCCTCGATTTCCACCTCATGACCCGTGTCGAGGAGATGCCTGGAGATGGCACTGTTTAAAGCATTTGTTCCCTTTAGACGTAAGCTTTTGGTACATGTTCAGAAAATCGTAGATATGCCCTTCTTTCTGTCCTTCCAATGTAACTGCTCTCGCAGATACATGTGAATTTGTATATACAATTGTAGTTAACATGAGAAGGATATCTATCGATTTTTGATTGCACCAAAGAGCTACCAAAATTTATTAGTTATTCATCATCTTACTCACCTCTCGTCTTTATTACGTAACTCCTTTACCATTGTATGCATACATTTATTTTGTTTAAACTTGAACTGCCTGTGTAAACACTATATAAGCACAATTTTCTGAGCATTTCTGTCGACTGACAACATGTAAAATTTGGAAGTATGTTAAACTTTTCTGTACGTAAACCTCATAATTTATTTAGTCTGTAAGCAGCTGATGAGAAGCCAACGAAATAAGCAATGATGGTACCATATTATTCTGCACAAACCACTGTTGTTCTTGCTTTATTTAAACTCCATGAATATTTTTATCTCTCTCTTTGTATTTAGGGTAATTCAATTATCATTTGGTTTTTAACTAATTAATAATGATAATAATAACACTGCTACTATCACATTATATATTAGTAATAGTAGTAGTAATAATAATAATGATAGTACTAATAACTTTTAATCATTTCATTATTTATTTCTAGGCACAAAAGCATCGTCAACGTTTGCGTACAGCACTAACAAATTTTCAAGGCTTTTTATCACATTTAGGCGGTTTATTCACTATTACCGCACAACAATCGTCTACGCCAGATGATACTGATAAAGCGACGACATCTGATACAACCGGTGACAAGAACAGTACTTCAGCTAGACAGTCTAACGATGATAATAGTAGCAGTAGTAATAGGACAACTGACAAAGCCAGCCGACCACTTCTGATTGGTTACAGTGAGTTGGATAATTGTTGGTTGAAAGAATTACACAACCGAGTTATTACGTGTTATAGTGATAAAAAATTTATACAAAAATTAAAAAATGTTTTTAATTAATTTTGTAATTAACTAATTTTTTCTATTTGTTTCTTTGTTTGTTTCCGAATAAAAATTGTTTCTTGTTGAAAGAGGATGTAAAATAAATCATTTGTATATATATATATTTTTCTTCTGCGTGTTTAAGTTTCTCTGGCTGTTTGAAAGATTTAGTGCTGTGGGGTTGCTAGTCCCACGCTTAATCCTCCCTCTTTACCCGGGTCTGGGACTGGGTAGAAAACTAGCGAGTTGTTGAAGCCCTATGTTCCACTAGGAACGCAAGGGAATAATAATAATAGTTTTCTATAGTTTGGATTTAATTTGTGGATGTGACTATCAGTGAAATCCAGCATGCGCATTTCGTCCTATTTCCGACTCGTCATCTGGATGTACCTGCATTTCCCAGTGAGTCATGATGTTCTCACCACCGAGGTTCGAACCCAGTGCCCATAGTTTCAAACGCCAAAGCGTTATCGACTAGACCACTTGGGTCACGACAGCCACCTCTTGTGCAACAGGTCATATGAATTTAATTGAATTTTTAGATTTTCCTGTCGATTGATTGGACCGAAGCGCTCGGTCTCAGGTTGACATGTCGGCTTCTTGTGCAGATGCTTCAACAAAAATTCAACTAAATTTCTTTAGTTTGGTTTTTAAGGGTTAGTTTTGTTTGATCACGCATTGATATTAGCTAGAGAACCATTGAAAACCAGGGAGTACTGGACAGCTGTTGTTTCATCCTAGTTTGGGAATCATCGGCAGTACGCACCCACCGCAGGGAGTTCGAACCCAGGACCTTACGGTTACAAGGCGAGCTAGCTCGTATACCATTCAGCCACTGGAACCCGATTCACTGGCCAGCTCATGAATTCTAACTTCTACCAATTGGTGATTTAGCGTGGCTCCAACCATTGTCTTAGGTGGCACATCCAAAATGGTGCAAAATATTCCCATATCATGAATTAAAAGTCAGTCTGAACGAAGAATATTCTTTTCAATAACTTCTCCTCTTCAGATTCTTACAATTATAAAATTTTATAATATTTGTTGTCGTTACAATAATGATAGCCAGTATGCTGCAGATACATATTTTTTCAACTAAGTATAACAGATTAGTAGTTATGAGGTGTCAAAATATATAGTCGTATTTGTGTGAAAAACATGCTAGGCTGGAATCGATTACAAAATATTGTAAAATGGGAGACAGTGATGGTGGTAATTAGTCATAATGGATTCGTAGAATGTACATTCCTTTGACGTCCTACCAACGAGAAGAGAGGATGGTTCTGCCAGAAGAACCATATTTAGAAAGCTATAGACCAAAGCACCAGAGATCTCTGGGAGCGAACCAACCAGGAACCGATTGTGAAACAAATAGGCAGGAAGAAATGGAGATGGATTGGCTGGCCATACTCTCAGGAAACCATCAAGTGAGTGACATCACTAGACAAGCCATTGCTCGAGTGGAACCCGAAAGGGAAGCGGCGAGTTGGTCGTCAGTGCAAGGGTGACATAGAGGAGGAGGTCATGTGAAGAGGAGGTGAAAGCTTGTGGGCAGACGTGGAGCCAGGTGAAGACTCAAGGAGAGAACCGAATGCAATGGAGACGTACGACTGAAGCCCTATATTCCTCTAGGAATTAAAGGAAACAATAATAATAGTAAATAATAGACCAAAGCACAGTAAATAGACTTTCTTCGCTTCGTACTGATGAAATACAGACGTAAACTGATCAGATGCTTAGCATTTATAGTGAGGTTGATTGGTTCGGAAGACTGTGGAAAGAAAGAACTTTTGGTCATCTGACATCTTCAGCGTAAACAGATAAACATAGAAGTTTATAAAAGCCAATATAGGTCATTGGAATCGTAGGCATAAACTAGCAATGGTGGAGAAAAGCCATTATTTTCACGTCTACAATTCAAGGGAGACAACACTCCTGTGGATATCCTATCACAACGTTTAACCAGGGCCCTAAAGAAAACGTTCTGGTTTGCAGATCTGTTCCTATCTTTCAGTAGCCGTCCAATGTTAACGCAGCAACTGAAAGATGTCTTATCTAACCTTAGCTCTTCTTCATGCATATACAATTTCAAATGGATTTTTCGAAATCCATATGCAAATCTATATGGAGATGGAGATTAATCTGCGGAAACACTGAGAAATCGACTGTCCTGTTCATTCAAAAAAACCTTCTTCGCAGCCGAACTACGATTAATCTTCTCTACGAAACCTATGATTCGTATGAACGTGAAGGATAAGCTATCACTTGAAAACTCAGTTCAGCATATATGAATATTTAAGAGAACAAAATATTTAGAGCGAACAATTGTAGTTTCAATAAATTCTTCGTTCTTCAGGCTCTACAATTATTAATCCATTAATTTAAGCATACAATAGCCAGCCAGTAGAGGCGAATTAGAATCATATCAGAAAGTGTATTGTGGAACAAGTATAAGTAAGATGGGAGGGAACAATAGTCAGATAGCTTTTTAATATGCATGGTCAATGAGAACATGGGACAAAATCAGATGAAGTAATTTAATTTAATGATGTGTGTATATATTAATATAGTCAACAGAAAATACAGGTTTCGAGAGTGTGTGAGGTAATGTGAAAATAAACCAACACATGGGGCGGTCTAGACATAAGTTCAAGGTTGAAAATAACGACAATAAGAATATTAAAACAATTAGTCCCTTTGATAAATTTGAATAAGGCATTAATAAGACATATTTCGCAAGATGATTTCATTTCGTATTTTCATTGCAACCGCTTTACAACTAACATGGTTAACAATAATTAAATAAAGTTCATGACAATTGCTCAGTTAAATACGAACAAAAGTACATACTAATGACCAATCATATTTAGATAGGTCTAGTAGTTCATGGTAGGCGAAGATTGAAGTCTATTGATTTTTGTACACACAGTTTGGGCTGTATGTGATTAATCCAAAGTGCTTCCATCACCTTCAATAACCTTGAATTAGAGTTATGTGAAATAATTGTGAAACAGTCATTAATAAGTGTTTCGCAATGGATGACGCTGGATTTCTATTCAGATTAATCGCGTTGGGATTTTCTATATGATTTAGTAACCATTTTGGAACATATTCTTTTCGACGACATTAGAACATTCTGTTGGTTCTATCTATATAGGTGTCAACGCAGCTGCAGGTGAACTTTTAGATACAGTTTGAAGTAGAGTCCACAGAATTTCGTCCTTTAATCATAGGTAGTAGTTACAGGGATCGGAAATGTTCGGCAAGTGAGAAAAAGAGATGCGGCGTAAAATGTGCGTTTGATTCCTTTCACAATTTTCTTTTCTTTCCTTCTTCTTCTATTTCATGACCTTACTTATGATTTTATTACCTTAGGTTTAAGTAGTGCTTTTCTAACTTGTTATCGTATTTACAAAATCCTGTTCATTCCACTTCATTATACCCGTTATTATTATTATTATTATTTGACAATCATTCACCAATAGTGCTTGTAATTTTACACCATATCATCGTTATTATTTTACAATCATTCTTATTGTCGTTATTTTCAACCTTGAACTTATGTCTAGACCGCACCATTCGTTGGTTTATTTTCATATTGTCTCACACACCCTGATTACACACACTCTCGAAACCTGTATTTTCTGTTGACTATATTAATATATACACACATCATTAAATTAAATTACTTCATCTGATTTTGTCCCATGTTCTCATTGACCATGCATATTAAAAAACTATCTGACTATTGTTCCATCCCATCTTATATTCGTTCCACAATACACTTTCTGATATGATTCTAATCTGCCTTTACTGGCTATTGTATGCTTAAACTAATGGATTTATAATTGTAGAGCCTGAAGAACGAAGAACTTATTGAAACTACAATTGTTCGCTCTAAATATTTTGTTCTCTTTTCTGTTAATTCACATCCCTGAACTCTGATCCTATATACTTAATTAACCGTATAATATTTCAAATGCCTATGACTACTAATATTTCATTAGGTAACTGTAGGCAAGCGAGATGAAAATTTACCGAAAATATGGATTTGCTTGCTTAAATCGTGTTCTGTATATTTTATTTAGACATTGGTAAATCAAAAATGCAAAAATTTCTGACCAAAAACAGCACAAAGAGGAACTCAAGCTATTGACACACATAACAAAGATGTACTACTTACACGCCTTGACAAGGATGCAGGTGTTGATGTTATTATGGATCGTAAAGATTACATTGATAAAATGTCACATCTACTTTCAGACAGCAGTAAATTCTCGAAATCGAATGAGAAAAACAAGACAGAACTAAGTGAAAAGCAATTTACCGAATCTTTAAAGAGAATGAAGAAGAATCATCTCATTCATGAAGAAGTGTACGAAAAGATTAGTCTAACAGGATCACTAATACCAAGACTTTATGGTCTACCGAAGAAACACAAAGGTGGCCTTCCACTCCGTCCTATTTTGGATATGTCCGGGTCTCCTTATCATCCAATAGCTGGGTGGTTAGATGAAATCCTCGAACCAGTCAGGGGACAACTGTCTATTCATTTCCTTCGGGACACCTTCCAGGTTGTTGAATGTATACAGGATACAAATGCTTCGAATAAATATATGTTGTCTTTGAATGTAGAATCCCACTGACAGAAACCATATGCTTTATATGCAAATATATTTAAGGCAACAAGTCGAACATAGGGATACCCACAACTGATCTGAAACAACTACTTTTGAGATGTACATTGGATGTACAGTTTACTTTCAATGGAACAATCTACAGACAGAAGGATGGTATTGCAATGGGTTCTCCCTTGGTTCCTCTCCTTGCAGACTGTTTTATATCCAGTCTAGAAAATGGTCAGTTAAAGTCAACAATCCAAAGCTTTCAAATGTCTGAAGGTATGTAGATGACACCTTTATTATTTGTAATAGTGATTGCAATTTGAATAATATATTAGATTAATTTAATGGTTGCCATCCAGCAATAAAATTCAAACTCAAAATGGAGAACGAGTCTAGTATTCATTTTCTCGATGTGAACTTATCAAGGAGGACTGATGTAACTCTGAAGAGATCGACTTATCAAAGGCTGCCATGGAATGG